GCTTAGGACTCCCTCGCAGTTTATTTAGACATCGGGATCTCGCTGCCCGTCGTGGCCCCGTTGCAGCCCTTCGTGGCCCCCTCGCTGCCCTTCGTGGTAGCCCTTCGTGGCCTCCTCGTTGACCTTCGTGGCCCCGTTGCAGCCCTTCATGGCCCCGTTGCAGCCCTTCGTGGCCCCGTCGCTGCCCTTCGTGGCCCCCTCGCTGACCTTCGTGGCCCCGTTGCAGCCCTTCGTGGCCCCCTCGCTGCCCTTCGTGGCTCCGTTGCAGCCCTTTGTGGCCCCCTCGATGCCCTTCGTGGACCCGTTGCAGCCCTTCGTGGCCCCCTCGCTGCCCTTCGTAGCCCCGTTGCAGCCCCTCGTGGCCCCCTCGCTGCCTTTCGTGGCCCCGTTGCACCCCTTCGTGGCCCCCTTGCGCTGCCCTTCGTGGCCCCGTTGCAGCCCTTCGTGGCCCCTTCGCTGCCTTTCGTGGCCCCTCTATATGAATGCCTTCGTGGCCCCCGCTCGTTCGCGCCCGTCGTGGCCCCACCTGCATGCGCTTCGTGGCCCCGCTGTCGCCATGCGTGGCCCCCTCGCTGCCCTTCGTAGCCCCGTTGCTACCCTCAGTGGCCCCGTCCTTGCCATCTGCGGCCCGATGTATGTATGCCCTTCGTGGCCCCCGCTCGTCCGCGCCCGTCGTGGCCCCATATGCATGCCCTTCGTGGCCCCGCTGTCGCCCTTTATGGCCCCTTCGCTGTCCTACGTGGCCCTGTTGCTCTGTCAGTGGCCCCGTCGTTGCCCTCTATGGCCCCGCATTATCTGCACTTCGTGGCCCCCGCTCGTTCGCGCTCTTCGTGGTCCCACACGCATGCCCTTCGTGGCCCCGCTGTCATCATTCGTGGCCCCCTTCCTGCCCTTCGTGGTCCCGCTGTCGCTGTCGCTCTCGCTCTCGCTCTCACTTTCGCTCGTCGTCGTCGTCGTCGTCGTCGTCGTCGTCGTCGTCGTGGTCGGTCCCCTGTCCGTCCCTCTTGGGGTCGGGTTGCCGCCGATCAGCGCTGCCGCTGGCCAGGCTGACGGTCCGCGGCCACCCCGCCGCTTGCCAGGGCCTGGCCTGCAGGGACGATATATATATATATATATATATATATATATATATATATCTATATATATATATATATCTATATATACAAGTGGCACGTGTGTGCCCAGGCTCATACAAAAAACTGAAGGGGCGTTTGAAGCAGGAGTGAAATGCAACATCGAAGTCGCACTCGAGCGCAAGTGGGGTTGCCACACCTTGCGATGTGTGTACCAGGACCCCCCAGGAAGCCTCAGGAGGCCCGACTTGGATACCAGAAGAGGCTCCAGGAGGCCCCAGGATTGTGAGTGTTGTGCGTGTGTGTGTGTGTGATGTATGCTTTGTGTGGTGCGTGCTTTTTGTGTGTTGTAGGTGTGTGTGTGTGTGTGTGTGTGTGTGTGTGTGTGTGTGTGTGTGTGTGTGTGTGTGTGTGTGTGTGTGTGTGTGTGTGTGTGTGTGTGTTATGTTTGTCTAGCGTGTGATGTGTTGGGCGTGATTTGTGTCTCTGTGTGCATGTAGTTCTGAAGCCCCAGGAGGCCCCAGGAAGCCCCAGGCGGCCTCAGGAGGCCCCAGGAGACCCCAGGAGGCTTCAGGAGGCCCCAAGAGGCTCCAGGAGGCCGCAGGAGGCCCCAGGAGGCCCCAGGAGGTTTCAGGAGACCCCCAGGAGGCTCCGAGGCGGGGTCTGGGGTGCCAGAAGGTTCAGAAAGCCCCAGGAGGCCCCAGGAGGTTCCAGGAGGCCCCCAGGAGGCTCCGAGGCGGGGTCTGGGGCTCGATTTTGGAAGGATTTTTCAAGCGAAACCGCCATTCCCTGAGAATCGGGGTCACAATTATTGAAATTACCATGTGTTTTTGAAGGTTTTATGTTAACATGTTGAAATTCCCATGTGTTTTTGGACCCTGACGTCACGATCTGCGTGAGGGGTGCCACCGATTTTCAGAATTTCGAGGATGTCCCGAGCGAAACGCCCAGAAAAATCGCGGACGCGTGCGCATTAATCGCCTCTGAGCTCTACTCCCTCGGAGAGGTGCGTATGAGAATATATATATATATATATATATATATATATATATATATATATATATATATATATATATACCTGCCAAAAGGGGTACGATCGAAGACGAAAAAGGCGGCGGTTTTCGAAGGTTCGGGAAATACACGTTGAATGACATTCGAGCAGATAAGTGCGAACATTGTTACAATTATTATTGTTGTTGTTGAACATTATTTATTCTAAAGAATAATTATTGTTGGGCCCCCTGGTGCGCGCCCCCCCTGCGCCGCCTAGGCCGCAGCTACATTTTCATCATTTTCGTGAGGAAGCCTCAGAAAAGAGGGTGTGTACAGGATCCGGTTGTTTTGTTGTAATCCGCTTTCCCTTGCAAAAAACAATAGAAAATGACATTTCTTGTTCTAATATAATCAAATTTCAAGAATCCCTTGCAAAAAATAAGGTAAAGTGGACATTCGCGCGCGCAAGACGAAATCCTTCCAAAACCTTAGTGTTCGCAGCGATTTTAACATAAAAACATCAAAAAACCAATGGTTTTTCAACAAAAAATTGTCAAAATCTCATCCCGCGCGCTCTTGCGGATTCGTAGGAAACCCAACACTTTTTAAACATTTCTGTCAAACGGGCTTTTGCGAGCAACTTTTTCGAACTTCTGCGACAACGGTTGCGCACCTGCCAGGGCCATCATCCCTGTCAAATAATACCATGCGGGACACATTCGTTTTTTCTTCGCGCGCGCACGCCGAAATCTCCAAAAACCATTGGGCTTCTTAAGAATTTTAGCACCGCGCATCATAAAATCACACGAATCGCACCGTAGGTCCTCGAAAAACACCTGCACGACTTTTCAAAATTTCTACCCGCGCGCGCTGTCCGAATCCTAAAAAAACCAATGGTTTTCCAACATTTATGTTACATGAGCTCGCGCGAGCTACTTTCGCACGCTCTTGCAACGGGGTTCGCGCGCCTGCCAGGGGCCACAATCCCTTGCGGTTGCGCCATAGGTTGCGCCCTCGGCCGCCGAGAATAAAACGGCTTAAAACGTTCTGTGGAAGGCTTACATGTACAGATGTTCTGTGGAAGGCTTAACAACTTCTGTGGGTTAACAAGGCTTAACAACTTCTGTGGGTGTACGAACGTAGGCTTAACAACTTCTGTGGGTGTGTACTCCACGCCAGTGTAGTAGCCACGGTCGTCCGCAGGCCACGAAGTGAAGTGTCCGAACGTCATAGGGCGGGAAGCTGGGTGTGGGTGGTGGCGAAGAGTCGTGTGGATATTTGGTAGAGCTTGCACTGCCCCCCCACAAAGTGGGGGTATTGGCTGGCGTCGCATGAAAACCCTGGCACTGGTGAGAACACTGAGCGTTCGGGTAAAGTGATTGTTTTTGTTGTTGTTGTTGTTGTTGGTGTTGCTGATTTTTCATGTTTCAGAAACAAATCTCGTTGCCCCTCTGGCGCGCATGGTATTGTTCCTGTTGAAGTTCCCCTCCCAGGGCTCCCACACTTTTTTATAGTGGGGGTCGAATGGGGTCCTTGGCCCCCGAGCAACAACAACGGCTCTCGCCTCATAATTTTTCACAATTTACTAGGACATCGTGTTCTCGCGCGGGACTTCCTTACACATTATGCAGGAATCGCACTCTCGCTTGGGACTTCCGCGCAGTTTACTCAGACGCCGCGCCCTCGACGATTAGGAATCGCGCTTTCACAGTGGTTTTCCCTGCGATTCATTAGGGAATCGCGCTATCGCTCGAGACCTACTCGCGATTCATGCAGTACACATGCTTCAGCAACCCGCCTGCTCTCGTGCTCCATCTTTCTCCCTACCGCTTCCATCCTTCCTTTTTTCCATTGTTTTAGGGACTGCGACACATGCGCGTGGCAGACAAGGAGGATATACCCCAAGGGGATATAATCGAATACGAAGAGAGCGGGTACCGAGGGTTTGGGATACACGTGTTGACAGGCACGCGAGCAGACATGAGGGAACAGTCTTCAATTCATAGTTTTTGAATTTTCACTCATATGTAATAGTTGTTGACGCTTCGCGTGCCCCCGCCAGCCCATCCATGCAGAGACGATGCCCGGAGGAGTTGCCTCGATCAGGGAAATGGGGAGCACAAAGAGGAAGGATCACTCTTGGAGCGCTCTTTGTTGCGCTCGTATGCTTCTCTTTTCTCCTGGTGGGGGCGGGCCCGGTGGCGTCGCTCCGACGGGTGAGCTCGCGGCGTCGTGGGAGGCCCTGGGGAAGGGTGCCAGGGCAAGGCCATGAGCCGGGGGGGTGCCCAGGGTGGCTTGGGGATGCGTGCGGAGACCTTTTGGAGCCGTCTCGGGCCGTTTAGGAGGGTCCTCTCAGGCCATCTCGGGGCCGCCCGGGCGGCCGTCTTGGGGCCCTCCGGGGCTTGTTCGGGCTCTCCGGCACCGTCTTGGGGCTCCCAGAGGCTTTTTTGAGGCCGTTTTAGTTAAAAGACAGCGGGGAGCGAAAGCCAGTCTCCGAAGCTTTCTGGATTGCTTCTTAGGCGCCTCTCAAGCGCTTTTGTGGGGTCCCTTGTAAGCATCTTGGAGCCTCTGGTCAGTCGTCGGGCCGTCTGTGGCTGTTCCTGGGACATCTTGCAGCCTTCTTGGGGTGGTTGGTCCGTCTTGGGGCTGTCGTTGGTCCGACAAGAGAACCAGGAAGCGAAGCCAGTGGGGGAAGCGTTCTGCGAGGACTCGCCTGGGGGTTCGCCCTTGGAAGATTACATAATCGCTACCGGATTGCTGACGGGTGTATTGCATCGAGGGTGCGGTGGCATATCAGGACCAAGGGTGGCTAGAGACGAAGAGTGTGCTTTCACGAAAGGGAGATATTTAGTGTTGGGGTTGGAAGGCAGGACCCTCAGCTCCTTCTTTGCATCTTACCATGCAGAATTGCCCGCCTCCCGTGCGTACGCGCAGGAACGAGGGACTTGTACATGTTGACGGAGTCGACTTATCTATTGCCGATCTCTTCGCTTATGACGTATTTGTTTGAACAGGAGACCATTGGCACTGGTAGAGCACTTAGCGCTAGAAGAAGGTCCTTGAGACCTGCGAAAGTGAGACTTCTGTTCAGTTAGCACGCGCGAGTCGGTTGCGATGGTTTTCGTCAACAGTCTGATATGATTCGCCGCAGATCATGCAGAGGAAGTGGCGATATATGGTCGAGGGTTTGGCCCCCCCCCCCCCCCCAATGCTAATGCCATCGCCCCGCCCCCCCGCGCGATGCCCCCCCCCCCTCCCTGTGGGCGTGGGCGTGGCGTGGTGGCTCCCCCCCCCCCCTGTGGATGTGGTGTGGGTGTGGTGTGTTGCTGTGGGTGTGTGCGGGGTGACGCCATGGTCCTCCCCCCCTCCCTCCCCCCCTTTGGGTGCGGTGTGGGTGCGGCGTGTGGCTGGGATTGGCGTCATGCTGACAGCTCCGGTGCTCGACGTCGTCGCCGCCGCGGCTGGTGGTGCCGTCGACGTCGTCGTCGTCGTCGTCGTCGTCGTTGTCGTCGTCGTCGTCGTTGTCGTCGTCGTCGTCGTTGTCGGTGTCGTCGTCGTCGTCGTCGTCGTCGTCGTCATTATTGCCGTCGTCGTCCTCCTCCTCCTCCTCCTCCTTGTCTTCCTCCTCCTCCTCCTCCTCCTCCTCCTCCTCCTCCTCCTCCTCCTCCTCCTCCTCCTCCTCCTCCTCCTCCCCCATCCCATCTGGGTGGGGGGGGGCCCGAGGACCCTGGGACCCATTCCGTCCTGGGGGGGGGGGGGCCCGAGGACCCGGAGCCCACGATCATATATGTAGAAGAGGGGCGAGTCAGTCGAGAGTGTATACTAGTGCCAGTGTGTCGATTTACCAGGGAGGGTGTTGTATCTACCTCTGGCATTGATTCATGTGGCCGAGCAGCGTCAAGCGGAATTAGTTGCAGCCTTGGCATAATGCTCGTCGCTGCCATTTATTAGTGTGCCTTTGTGCGGTTCAGCTGCAGCACTGGCTGAAGGCACTGGTCCTGGGTCTCTAGTCGTCATCGCATTGTGGCTGGGCCACTAGAGTGCAATGTGGTCAAGCACCATGTGTACGAACAATGCGCGGGGTTGTTCGTATTAGCATGTGCCAAGACAGTCGTGTGATGGCCTACCAATGTTGAGTGTATTCTGCTTGACAAGAGCTGCACGGTCGCCTTCTGTTTTTCTTTGAACGCAATAGTGATCGTGTTTATTTGCCAAGGTTTGATGCCACCTGCTCAGAGTGGTGACCAAGCTCAAGCTGCTGTTGATGCGATTGGCTTGAGCTCAACAGAGTCCAGTGCATTTGTCGTGGATGAACGTGTGACGGCAGCAGGCACTGTGATTGTAGTGTTTTTGTGTTTTTCGTTTTGCGTTGCGAGAGCTGCAACACCTTGGGTTGCGTCTCAGTCACTCTTCGATTGGGGCTCGTCGGTGCACTCTTGGAAGTACCAGCCAATTCTGATCGCTCTGCCGTTTTTTATTTACGACATTCTTTTCTTGAATGGGTCGTTGTCAAAGTTCCAGATTGTGGCAATTATGCTTCTCTTGGCAATCAACGCGCTTCACCGTGCCGACATCTGGAACTCTTTCAAGCGAAAGTTCTTGCTGCTCATGACGCAGGACCTCAGCCTCCTTGTGATCGCGAAGACAGTCGCATGCTTGTAGGATGAAGGAGATCGAATTCAAGGCTATGTCTCGTTGAGTGCTTCTCTGTGCGAGCAACCTGTACGATTATTGGGTGAATGGACAGAATCTGCAAGTCTTTCCCTTGTGTCTGGAGCGGTGTTCGACGCCTGTACGGGAGCAGCTTGCCAGTACCAGTCTTCGCGCGGCTACGTGTTGCCACGTGTCCTTTGGCACTGAAGTTTAGCTCGCACGTGCAAGGTGACACTGCTGTGCCCGCAAGCGGCGCAAGTGAGACATCGTCTCGATCTGCTACTGCAGCGCTCGCTTCCCCTGCCCACCAGACCTCAGTTCATTACGGGTCCCTGGAGCCCTCGACCCCCTTCCTGCAGGGGACAGACTCTTCGGCCAGGGAAGTTCTTGAATAGTCCTTTGGTCCAGACTCGGCTCACAAAGGCAGACAGTTGAAGCACCCTGAAGCACTTTGAAGCACGCCTGCGTGTGCAAGCTCGGACCACCGAGCTGTTCGTCGTGCATGGCTCAACCTTAACCGTGAAACATATCCTCGTGGGGCGGGGTATAAAGAGGCAGACGATTGCTGAAAGCCGTCGCCTCGATTTTCCCACAACTCTGGACGTCTGGGCTCTTCTGCTCCACCCCTCCGCCGCCTGGCCCGCCGAGCCAGGACCTGCACTACCACCAGCCGGCCGTGCTGCGCCAGCTGCAGCGGCGGACGCTGCTGGAGTTCCTGGAGCGAGGGGCCGCCTTTCGAACGCTCGGCGGCCACCAGAAAGCCAGTGCCAGTTCCGGATCGATCGAGTCTCAAGGTCGAGTCTCAAAAGCGAAAAGAAGAAGAGGCCACGCGTTCTGCCCCCCAGGGGGCCCTCGGGGCCGAATGCCTGGAGTCAGATGGCTCCGGGATGCATTTCTTTTTCCCCCCCGATTTGCACGCTAGGTGTTTCTGTTGAGAGCCACGTGTGGGCGCCGAAAATCGGGGGCGGCAAAGCGGGGGGTGATGACCAGGGCAGTGTGGATATCATGGCGGGGGCCATGATATCTCTCCAGATTCCATGGCGCCTCTTCTTATTTCAACACGTCCCCGCCCCCCCCTCCTGGGCCGCGCACATGCCGCTGGCCATGATTTGCGCACCCCCCTCTTGGACGCCCCCCTCTTTTAGGTTACATCTTCGGGGGACCTCGCCTGTCCCCAAAATTGGTGTCTTGTTTTGTGCCTGACGCGGGCTCGATGCGGACTCGACGCGGATTTGGCGTGGATTCGACGCGGATTCGACGCGGATTCGACGCGGATCCGACGAGTCCGACATGGACTCGACACGGACTCGACGCGGATGGGGGCGCGACGGGACAACGGGACGGACAAGGTCCCCCGAAGATGCAACATGACCTTTTGGACGCCCTCGAGAAATGAAAGATTGGGCCAGCTGGCCCGACGTCCGCGCACGCGCTGCCCGCGCGAGGTCGCGCGTGCGCGGAGGCCTAGAGGTTGACACCAACACCAATATTGGCGGTGTGCCTCCACCGAGGGAACATGACCCCGATCTCGGTGGCTATGGTAATGTATTCGGGCTTCCTAGGGGGCCCGAAAGATCACCACCAGCACCGACATCGAGGATCATCTTCTCCCTGTGGAGGCAAACCCTCTGCGTCATGTCTGAAAGCACTAGGATGGGCCCAGAGTGTCCTGGAGAATTTGGTTCCAGATTTCGAGGTGACTTTCGTGCGAATTTTTGTAGGCCAGGAATGACGACAACAAACACCCATGCGAAATTCACTTCGTTTTTCGCTCGCCCTTTCGGGGTTTTGCGTCGACAGAAATCCATGCAACCGTCCGCTGCAGCACGCTTGCAAGTTCGGTGCAGTGACCTGCGTTGGTGTTGGCGCCCCTTCCCAGGCCACCAGCACCGACATCGAGGATCATCTTCCCCCTGTGGACGCAAACCCTTTTTGTTTCGCAGGCGATGTTTCTACCCCAGCCCCCGACATTTCGACGAAAATGAAGCGACCAAGAAAAGAACGGAAACCCTGGGATACACCCCCAAGGGGGCTGTTCGGACGCACCCCTGCCGAGGACGGACGCCCCCCCTTGGCATATCCCAGGGTTGGGCTCCCAGTGGCTGGTCCGCTCGAAGACCCCACCAAGACCCGGACGGGGGTCGACGCATCCCCTGTTTAGGGGGCCACGTGCGAACCCTACCCCTACTCCCCACGATTTCTGAGGGGGAGTGTGGGGTTCTTCGCTCGAGAGCTCCCGAGCGAAGTGAACCCCACCCTCCCCCTCAGAAATCGTGGGGGGTAGGGGTGCTGTTGGCCCCCCACTGTTGGTGCTGGTGTTGGTGCCCCCTTCTGTTGGTGCTGGTGTTGGTGCTGGTGTCGGTGCCCGCTCCCAGGGCCGCCAGCGTGCCCTCCCCTCGCCTCCGCGCGGCGGGGCCGCCGCCCGCGCAGGCAGGCCGCCCACCGCGCGTGAGGCCGAGGCCCCGCGGCTGCCGCCGGCGAGGCGGGTCTTCCCTCGCCGCTCACGCTCGGAGGCTGGTCGGCGTCTCGGGTTGCCCGGGGGAGGAAGAACAGATGGATTTTTCAGGAGCGAGAGAGACGCACATGCACAATGTGTGGTCGAGCCCCCAGAGAGTTACCGCCCACCAAGCCACCGCAACCCCAACCCGAGGGCCCCGATGTGCTCTCCATTTCCAGTTTGGGGGGGGGGTCGGGGCTTGGGGGAAACATATGTTTCAAGATGGGAAAAACATCGAAGGAGAAAAAACGCCATAGACAAAACTTTTCGGCGCTCCGCGCGGAGCGGGGCGGTGCCAGAGGCGCCGCCGGGGGAGCCCAGCGCGGATCCGAGAAATGCGCGCGGAGCGCCAAGAGTTAATGTTTATGTTGTTTTTGTCTCCTGCTAAAGCACACACAGAAACGAGTCCCGGAAGAGATGGGAAATTATAGGACGTGGGGGGGTGGAGGCCGAATATCCAAGACATATGGAAAGCATGTGGGGAATCCTGGGACTTTGCGTATTTATTCATGTTTCCCTGGACCCCTTCAATGTTGGAGGAGGAAAGGGTAACGTCAGAAGGTCTCTCGTTTTAGACCCCCCCCCCAGTCTTGGCGGTCGGCGTCGTTGTTGCGCGGCGGGTACCGCGGGGAATAGATAATCAATTCCCCTTATTATTGGAACACCAATCCGTGAAGAAGGCCGCCGAGAAATAATCACTCACACCTTACTGGGGGGTGTCTAAAGACCCTTAAGAGGGTACCCATACCTCTACCCTGCCCTCGATTTTCCTTTTTTTGGGCTTCCTGGGAGGCCCTCGTCGCCACCGCTGGATTCGCCGCGAAATCCTGGCCACCACGCGCCCCGGGAGAGGTCTGGGGAGTAGCGGGTATCGGTAACCTTTCGTTTCCCGAATTTTGTGCAGAATGCGAACCAAGCTCGAGGTTCTTTTTTTGTTTCCTTCAGTGAGTTTCAACCTGTATCGCTCACCAGTTGGGAATCGCTTGGCGTCTCCCGTCGTGCGAGGGAGAGGGCCCCCCTGGCGATGTTTGGAGCACTCCTTGATGGTCTCTTGGGGCACTCCTTTCAGGACTCTGACGCCCTCTTGAAGCCATGAAGATCGGCGGCGAGCGAGGGGGGAAGTGAGAAGTAGAAGGCGCTCTCAGAAGGCGGCGGGACTTCTCAGAAGCCCTCGCGCCTTCTGAGAGTTTTTTGTCTTCGGGGAAGGCCGGGGGACTTCCGAACCTTCTGAGAAGGCCTTCTCCTTCTCACTTCCCCCCGGTCTCGACGCCGAAAATGGCCCGCCGAAAGTCGCCGCTGAGATGAGCTGCCAGACCGAAGTTGACAAACTAACGCCTGAGGGTTTTGGACGATTTGTGTTGCCTGGGGTCTCTTTCGCAGCCTCTGGAAAACTCTCTTGGTGGGGCATCTTGGACTTCCTTGCGCTCCCTTGGTGACCTTGAGCATCCCTTCGTGATCTTGGGCATCTTCCTTGGACTTACTTGGACTCCCGTTTAATCTCCGGGCATCTTGGACTCCCTTGGTGACCTCTGCGGCCTTCCTGGGATCCCCCTGGATGCATCTATGCGCCTTCGGGGCGCCCTCCTGGCGCCCTCTTGTGCCGTCTTGAAAGCCTCAAAAAGGAGATTTTAGGAGCATCCCGACTGGCGATGACGACGACGAAGAAGACGACGGAAGCGTCTCACACACGCCGACGGATCGGGGGGATTTTAAAATCATTCCGAAACATCTTCTCTTCAAATCCCAACGAGATTCGCTTGACGCTTTCCGTTTTAGGTGGGGCCCCTTTTCCCAGGCTCACATCCCATGTACAAGCAATGGCTATTCTCTCTACTGACTACAGTCTTTCGTGAAATACGGTGGGTCTTCGCCCCCAAGGCCAAGATTCTTAGTGAAGTGGCTTTGATTTCCACCCAGCGCGCGACTTCTACAACGGTGCATCGTATGTGCATGCGTATAACCCGAGATATGCAAAGCATATGCAACTTTTTTGCATAACAGTATGCACATGCACTATACAAGTTGCATTATCCGAGCAGGGCTTACACTTAGGGGTTCTCACTTAGCTTTCAAGTAAGTTCATGTGTTTGTGTGTGTCTTTGTGGGGGGTGTCGAGGTCTCGTTTCGTTGCCCCCCGTGGCCGCCTCGTCGGCACCTCGTGCGCGCCGGCTCGGTGTGCCGAGGTCTCGCCACGTTGCCGCCCTTGGGCGCCTCCGTGCGCCGGGTGGCTCTGCCGAGGTCTCGCCACGTGGCCGCCCGACGCCTCGTGGGCGCCCCGCGGGCGGAGCGGGCGTGCCGAGGCCTCGCCATGCTGCCGCCCGTGGGCGCCCGGTGGGCGCCTCGCGGGCGCCTGCTCGGTGCAGAACTCTCAGGGGCCGGAGGGCCCTCCGCTCGGTGCCGCGGCAGGGTGGCGGAGGAGGAAGAAGGAGCAGGAGGAGGATTTTTTGTTTGTTTGTTCGCTTCAACCCCTGAAAGTTTCAACACCATTGGAGAGGCGACCCAGAGGTGAGGGTTTGGTGCGGTGGAAGAATACATTGACCCCACCACCTGAACTCCTGAGAGGCAGGAGCAGGAGGAGGAGGACGGGGAGGAGGAAAGGAGCAGGGCGAGGGGGGAAGGAGAAGACCTCCTCGGACGACTACAACATGATCCTCCTGGACACGGCCGTGCGCCACGGCGGGAACATCCGCGAGCCTGGGCTGTGCGAACCTGGGCTCGGGCAGGCATTTTGTGGCGTCGCCTGGCGGGAGGGCGGGAGGCTGAAAAGGGGGTGTCTCCATGCCGGCATGGCGAGACCCTCAGACATTGCGCATTGTTGTTAAGTCGAGCATGTCCCTCTACAGGAGGAATATTCACAAATAGTCAAGAGATAATTTGGGTACGATTTTTTTTTTTTTTTTTTTTTTTTTTTTTTTTTTTTTTTTTTTTTTTTTTTTTTTTTTGTTTTTTTGTTTTTTGTTTTTTTGTTGAGCATTTTTGACTGTCTTATTTTCTTTCCAGAATCCGTATGCAGGCGGACATGCCCGACCTAACATTTGTTGAGGTCCGTGTGCGCGACTTTTCCTGCCGGAGCAGGCCCCACGCCCCGCGAGGCCCGAGACGGAGTCCGAGGGGGGGCTGGGGGAGAGTACCGCCCACACCGCCGAGGAGCTATGGCCCTTCCAAGGCTCAAGGAAACATCATCATCATCATCATCATCATCACCATCACCATCACCATCACCATCACCATCACCATCACCATCACCATCACCACCACCATCATCATCATGGATCATCATGATCATCATGATCATCATGATCATCATGATCATGATGATGATGATGACCATCGTCATCATAATCATTATGACCATCATGATCATGATCACCATGATCATCATCACAATCATCATGATCATCATGATCATCATGATCATCATGATCATCATGATCATCATCATAATCAGCATGACCATCATGATCATGGTCATCATGATGATCATCATCATGATCATGATCATGATGATGATGATGATGATGATGATGACGATGACGATGATGATGATGATGATGATGATGATGATGATGATGATGATGATGAGGAGGAGGAGGAGGAGGAGGAGGAGGAGGAGGAGGAGGAGGAGGAGGAGGAGGAGGATGATGATGATGATGATGATGATGATGATGATGATGATGATGATGATGATGATGATGATGATGATGATGATGATGATGATGATCATCATCATCATCATCATCATCATCATCACATCAGAAAACATCATAATCGATCCATCGCCTCGCTGTTTCGGACAGCCTATCGGCTGTAGCCAGGACCTCGGTTAAGGGGGGCTGGTTAGTGATAGGGCCCCAAAGCCCCCCAAATCGCCCACACGGCCGAAGAGCTGTGGCCCTTCAAGGCTCAAGATTCCTCGCCGTGAGCCGCGCTGTTTCGGACAGCCTATCGGTTGTAGCCAGGACCCCGGTTAAGGGGGGCTGGTTTGCGATTTAGGGGAACGAAGAATGACATAAACATGAGATCTCGGAGGTCCGCGAAGATTTCTCAGATCGGCGCTGGTTGGGGCCCCCTGGCGGCGCCTCCGGCGCCGCCCCTGGCGCGCTCCGCGCGCCAGGGAGGGGGGTCCAGCGCCGATCCGAGAAATCCTCGCGGACCTCCGGATTTTTATGCTCATGTCATTCTTTGTTCCCCTAGTTTCGGACAGCATTCGGCTGGCTGGTTGGTGATTGGGCCCCAAAGCCCCCCAAATTGGCCAGAATCGCTAGAAACCAGGTCTGCCGTGGCTGGTGTTTTTCGAGCGGCGGCAGTTCCAGACAGTGGAATGTGGCGGGGGGGGGTCGTCCCCCGGTACACGTCACTAAACCAAGTCCCAGTAAACCCAGTCTAGCCAACGCCCGAAGCATGTCTGGTTCATTTTCAACAGGACTCGCTGTCCGCGCCGCCGCGGAAGTTGTCCATTGAAGACAAAAAGCTGTCTGCCTAATAGCGGCCGTTGTCGGTTTTGGACAGCATTTGTTATCGGGCCTTGTGCCCATCCTTGTCCGCATCCATCTCGGGCGTCCTGATACAGTGGGGACTTTCGTTGAGGAGTGTGCCCAGGAGGCTGCAGATCCTGGAGGATTCCTTATCTCATGAGGTGATATCCACTGCCACTCCACGATTTGGACTTCCACCGCCTTCCAGACCCTGGATTCCTTGTCCAACGGTTCCTTATCCAATGCCCCCACCGTATTGGAGATGGTGTGGCTTGCGCGAGTTCAGGAGATGCGCGTCAGGGAGGCGGCGTGGCGCGCGGTTTCTCCGCTGCTTCCCGTCGACCAGCCTTCCTTAAGTCGGGCCTGTCCCTCTACAGGTGGAAAATACCCAAATAGTCAAACAATAGTCCAGGGGCTATCTTGGACCAATTTTGACTATTTTTAGCATTTTTGGATTATCTTTATTTTTCTTGAAATCCGCCTGTAGGAGGACATGCCCGACCCAACGGCAGCCGCCAGTGGAAGGCCAGCGCGCCCGATGCCGAAGGTGATATCATGTAATTGAGTTAACGTGCGGACCAGGCCGCTGCAGAGCTGACACCGCTGAGGACGCACCACTCAACGCAGCGTGAACGCGGTGTTCCTGTAACATCTTGTAACCGCTCTTGGGGATACAAGGAAGGTGATGCTGCGTGGCTCCCTCCCCTCCGCTGTTGTCTGTGGTTCCTCGCCTTCCCCCTCCTGCTCCTCACACTTCCTCGGCTGCACGCTTCGAGAGGCGACATCGGAGGCACCATGCTTCCTCCGCCCCCCCACCCCGACCGCCTTCTCACAGCAAGTCTAAACAATCCAGCGGGAACCGGAGGGAACAAAAATGGGCACCAAGTTTCCTCCGTGCTGTCGTGATGCGGAGCAAGCTGTGCACGATGTCCTGTTCTGATCCTTTTCTTCGTGCAGTCCCTCACGGGATCCTCAGAGTATCCCAAATTCTTTGCGGTTCTGGGATTTCGTCGTATTTAGTCGACAGCTGGACGAAGTCTGGACGAAGTGGGCGACCTGTGGACGAAAGGGTGGAGAGGGGTGGTCGGAATGTGGACGAGATCCGGCCTAAGTCACGGCCATATGTGGCCGCGGAGGTCCACGGAGGCTCCTGTGAAGGCTCACCCAACCTCCTCTTTGCCCGCGGGCGGGGTGGGGGGACCTGCCAGTGCCGCTCTCCTGGCGTTCGGCGCAGCCCGCGCGGCCTCCTCCCCCTCGTCCCTGAGCTTCGTGTAGCCGAGCCCTGTCCCCGCTGGCATGGCCTCGGCCCCTCGGGCGGATGCAACTATCCCCCTGGGATGGGGATCTGGGCTGCTCCCCTCGGGTCTCGAGGGGCACATCCCGAACTTGGGGGCGGGGTGGGTGGTGGGGCTCAGATACAGGCCTCGGAAAGAAATCGCGAACACTCATGCCACATTCATCTGTCGACGCCTCCCCCTCCCCCCCACTGTTCAAAGTTGGCGGTTGGTCTGATGAGTTGCACTTCGACCGCAGTCTCCCCTTCGCGTGCCATCTTTGAGTTTTGGGGGAGGGGGAGTGTTCAGTAACTTTTTCCCTCTACCGTACCATGGCCCGGTGGGGATGGGGTTCGGTGAAAGGATGCTCCGCTGAGCTGCCCCGATACGCCCTCTCCGAGACGCAACCCGTGCCGTCTTCAGAAGGTCGGTGTTGGCACGCTGTCGGCTCGACACGCTACGCGTTGCGTGTTGCGTGTCGTGGCAGCTACGATACTCCGTCCTTCCTTCACCGCCCACCGAACCACCCCAACCTGACCCGGAGGCCTCGATTTGCCCTCCATTTCCAGCATGGGTGGGGTGGGGTCGGGGAACAGTGAAAACACACATGAAGCGCGTGCCGCCCCCCCCCCCCCCCAACTTGAAATTCGGGCCTTCGGGTTGGCTTTGGGGTGGTCTGGTAGGCAGTCCTTGCTCGCCCCCCCGCCGCCCTCCCGCCCCCGCCTCCCCCCCCCCCTCGGCGTGGCCCCGCCGGGCCGTGTGCCTTGCTGCGCGGAGGGGGCCCGCCGAGCGGCGATCTGGGGCAAGACGCAGGCCTCTCGACGGCGCACCCCACGGCGGACGCTGGGCCGAGCGCACGACAGCCTCCCCGACCAAAGAGCAAGCGACGCCGCCCCACCTGCGGCCCTCCGTGTTGCGCTTCGGCTCCTCCCTGGGCCGTGGCGTATACGGTGGAGGCCCGTGCCAAGAAACCCCTATTCGCCTTTAGGGTGCCCCTGGCGTCTTGGGTTTCGATGGTTTTGCCATGGAAGGCGTGACGTCCCAACACCAGAAGTCACTGCACATCCTGGGGTTCCAGGGTTGGGTTTCGTGTGGAAGGCTCCTTGTGGTCGAGCTCCTACTGTACCACGAAGCGGACCCACGCTGGCGCTGAGCCCCGTGGGGCCGCAGATGGGGTGGTGTCGTTGGTTTTCCGGTCCACGCTTGGGGGCCGCGGTCTGTAAGCTCTCGGGCCGCGGAGCCCTCGGGGTCGTGCGAGGGAGGTCGAAGGGCTTCGGAGGTCCGATCCCCGCAGGCGAAATGGCGAGAGACACCAGCATCACCGTCTGGGACCCGGCGCCCAGCGCCACGGCGGCGTGGAAGCTGGCGTTCTCGTTGGTGACCAAGTCTTTGAAGGACCTGGCCTTTCTCTCATTCCCGTACGTCATAGCTTGCAAGGTGCTCCTCCGCATTATGCACTCTCCATCTGTACAGCGAGGCCATCGCGCGCGCGCGCGCTCACACATACATGCTGTCGTATGTATCGAAGGTGCCTACGGCGAATCAACGCCGCCCCTTTGCCTCGTGGGAACGCGAGGTGTGTGTGTGTGTGTGTGTGTGTGGCCGATGTACGACTCGCTGGATTGTGGTCGAGTCTAGGCTCCCCGAAGTGTTGTCGGGGCGACTGGGGCAGCACATGGTGTCCAGAGTGAAGGGCTATCTTGGGGTCTTGGGGCGCCACGGGGGCCCTTCTTCGGCCGTCTTGGGGCGCTGTTGGGTCGTCAGTGCCCGTCGCAGCCATCTTGAGGGTCTGTTGGGACCGTCTTGGAGCAGTCTTGCGGCCTGCCGTCGTTAGGCCGTCTTGGGGCTCTTTTAGGCCCTCTTGAGCCCCTCTGGGAGCTTTATCGGAACTTCTTGGGGCCCTGTTGGGTCCGTCTTGGATTCGCCTTGTGTCACCGTGGGCTTTGTTTGGACTTCATTGGGGTCCTCTTGGGGACCTTTTGGCTGATCTTGGGGCAATATCGTGGGTCGTCTTGGGTGTCCTGTAGCCAGGAACTGCGAGTATGTCGAACTAGTAAGTCAGCTGTTATGCTTTGGGATGACTTTAGGCTCTTCGGGGCCACTTGGGGGTCCTCGTGCGGCCTTCTTGGGGTGTCTTGGGGAGGCTGTTGCGCTGCCTTGGGATCCTCTTGAGCTGTCTTGGAGCAATCTTGGGCCGTCTTGGTTGTCAGCTCGGGTCATCTTGGTCGTCTTAGAGGCCCTCTTGAGGCGTCTCTTGAGAGCCTCTAGGGCCATCTTGGGGCCATCTTGGGCCGTGCTGGAGCCCCCTTGGGCCGTGTTTGGGGCGTCTTGGTGGCCATGGTTTTCTTGACCGTCTTGGAGGCCATCTTGGGCCACCTTGGCTGTCTCGGCATATGGAAAGCAGTTTTACGGAGGCTGGTGCGGTCTGGTGGCGGGAGGCGGCATGTGCCGAAGGGGCGATGATAAGCTTTTCGCGGGGGCCAGAAACGCCTTGAGTCTTGCATGCCAGGCATCCCTTCGATTGAACGAAAGGGAGCGGTGGATCCTGTGCCGTCTTCGGCGTTATGATATTCGACAAGGCCCCTATGCGAAAAGACAAACCCGCAGGGTTGCAGCGCCTTTGGGGCCCTCTTGGGGCGTCTCGGAATTGGTGCTCTGGGCCGTGTTGGGGACATCTCACGCCGTCTTGGTGGCCCTCGTGAATCACCGTGACCGTCTTGGTGGCAATCTTGGACCGTCTTGGGAGCCATCTTGGGCCATCCTGGCCGCCTCGGAGGCCATCTTCGGCGCTTTGTGCGATTTGTCGGAGCCTCCGCGGCAAGCTGCGGGGTCCCAGAGCACCGGGCCGACGGTCTAGTGGGAAGCTCTTGCTAAGGACCAGAAGCGCACTGAAGGTCCTCCACGCCCGGCACCTCTCTGATGAACACAGAGCCAGAGGCGACGATAGGGGCGAATAACCCAGGGGGAGCAATACAGTCGAAATCGATGATACGGATGAGTAAACTTCCTAAGGGTACCCTTGCATCCGTGTCTGTTCGGTCCAGCCTGAACCGCTCTTGATGGCCATCCTCGCTCGAAGAGCAACGACATGGGCGTCCAAGGCCCTTGCATCCTTATCGTGCATCCGTACTATCAGTTTGGACTGTGCGCATGTATCCAGGGGCGCCGATGGTCCATGTCTTCGGCGAGGCTCAGTACGCGTAACGCCCGCCCCTGGGTCTCGCCCATTTCCCTTATCACCGCCGCCCAGAGGGAACGGCGGATCTAGGTCGCCTCACGGCGTGGCATCGCCGGCCCCCCTGATTAGTGAGAGCGCCACATCAGGGACGTTCCTGCGTGAGGCCTCCAAGGGCGTGCTCCTTGGAGGATTGCGAAGGGAAGGCATGAGCCTTCGGTTGTCTTCATTCTCGTAGCGTTGCCGCTGAGACATGGGGAAGGGGCCAGGGATTCGCCAGGGGGCAATTTGGTGGTGGTCGGGATGTAGTTGCACGCTTCCTGTAGGACACACCGCGAAAGCTCCGCGTGGCCCTCGACCTGCGATCCAGTTTCCTCGACTGCTGCAGGTCCAAGAGCTTCTTCCAAGTTGCTTCACCAGGGCTGCCCAGACGCTTCTCGGGAGCTTCCCCGGCATTTCCCCACCGCTCCCCGAGTGTTCGCAGGCCCCCAGCCCTTCCCAGGGCTTGCCAGGGCTTCCTAGGGCTCCATGGGATACCCAGGGCTTCCCGCTGGCTTCCAGGAGCTTTCCCAGGACTTTCTAAGAGGATCCCAGGAGCTTCCCGGGGCTTCCCAAAGCTCCCGAGCCACACCAGGATGTTCGAAGAGCTTCCTAGGGCCTCCCGTAAGTTCCGGAGTGTGGAGGCTCTGGTGGATGTTTGATTGCATTTGGTAATGCTTCCGCCCTAACACTTGCTTTCCTCCCGCCGCCGCGCGAAACTTTTTGCCCTCGCCTGAAGCCGCAGGTTTCTTGAAGTTGGTGCCCGTGATGTGGCTGATACTTGGCGCAAGCGTATGGCGAAGCACATCTTTCTTTCCATACAGGCACAGCTCACGCATCGCAGTGCGCAGCGTGCTTGCTGCCGCTCTTGTACCAGTCAATAATACAGCTGTTAGCAAAATAAACGCCTGCCAAAACATATTTCTAAAGGGCCCCCCCCCCCAACACCACGTATCTCAAGGCTGGCGGGCGACGGAGAGTGCGAAGTGCCGCAAAATAAGCGCCCACTCCTTGCGAGCGGCTCATCGCTTCCCGTCGACCCTGAAATGCGTGCGGGGGCGAGAGGGGCGCGTTTCGGTGTCTCGATGCCAGGACCAGGAATGGGCGTTTTTTTTGCAACCAGCGGTGTCGAGCGGACGTGTGGATCTGCATGCGGACCTGCACGACCGTCTCGGCCAGATTGCGCACACCCGAGGGTGCACGGAGCGATCCGCACGGCATTTTGACACCGCGTCGCTCTCCGGCAGTGCGGAGTCGAGTGCCTCCACGTCGTCCACAGCGACTTCAGCGAGCGCCGTGTCGCTATCCATAGGGGAACGAAAAATGATATAAACATAAAAACTCGGAGGTCCGCGCGGATTTCTCGGATCGGCGCTGGACCCCCCTCCCTGGCGCCCGGAGCGCGCCAGGGGCGGCGCCGGAGGCGCCGCCAGGGGGGTCCAGCGCGGATCCGAGAAACCCGCGCGGACCTCCGAGTTTTTATGTTGATGTCTTTCTTCGTTCCCCTAATCCAGCACCGCGGGATAGAGTACACCTTAGGCGATGCTTGAGAAAACCTAAATTTTCGGCCACAGTCTCGATTATTCTTAATGTTTCAACGTAAATCCTAATATTCTGATAGAAATGTAGGGTTTTGATTCAAGTTCTGAGACTATGAATTTCTTAACCCATGACTTCTTAAGCATTTCGCAGGGTGTACCGCTGCAGGCATGTCGGGCTTCGCGAGTGCACAGCCTGGGCATCCGCAGCACGACGCGGCGCTGCACGACGGGTACCAGCACGTCGACCCCGGCTTCACCGCGGTGGCACCACGTCGGCGCGATGCGAAGACCTCTTGGCCCGAGGCGAGCCCCGCGGCGAGGCTACGAGGGATGGTTCGCCTCCTGTTCCGCTCCTCCTTCCTGTACACCCCCCCCCTTGCATCTGTTTTTTTTTGTTCCACAGGTCATTTTTTTTTTTTTTTTTTTTTTTTTTTTGTTTTTTTTTTTTGTTTTTGTTTTTTTTGGTTTTGGAGACTTTCCGGCATCCAGCTCCGCTTCCGCGACGTGTCGTCCCGGGCGTGCACGTCAGGCGACGGCCGCACACACGGGCGCTCGACCACAATGGTTGGCTGCACCACGTGGCTTCGGCTTCTTCGCCCTGTTATTCTCAGGCTTTATCCTTTGGCATCCATTCCACCCGACATATTGTACTTTCGGTCGGCCGTACGCTGGGCATTGTAATGTGTTTGATATCGCAGATTGCGTGTTGTGCTCGAGGACTCGGGGAGCCGTATTGCTGCGAACGTGTCTTCGCCGCAGGCTCCATCCCCCCTCTTTTCCCCTCCGTGAGGGACCATTGTACGAGTGCCGCTGGCAAGGCCTGGTAGGTGTACGCACGCGCGGGCCCCCCCTCTTCTCACGCTCGTGTGGCACAATTTTGCGGGTGTCTCCGGCGAAGTCTCGGGTCGCTGACGCATGCATGAGCTGTGCGCGCCCCTTGCTTTTTCCTTGCCTCCATGCCTCCTCTTCCTCTTCCTTTCTTTTTGACATTTGTTACACAACTGGCCTGGCGCTTCTTTTATGCTCGCTCCGCGGAGCTCGTGGGTCATCGTCGCTTGGTGCAGGGGGGGAACACAAATGCCCACCGCTCCCTTGGAGTGGTCCAGGTCTGCGCTCCAGCAGCCGCGGACGTGGATGTCCTCCCTAGCGATGCGGAACTTGTGCGGTTGGCGCGGGGGACGGTGCAGTTTCAGGTGCGTCAGTGCGTCTCAGCAGGGTTGCCCTGTCATCCTCCGCACTCTCCCTCCATACACTTGCCTGCCCTTGCGGCCGCCTATGCTCTCAAGGCGCCCCTGGGCCGCCTTTCAGGCTGCGGGAACATACGGCGGGGGCGTTCGTTAAGGCATGTGCCCAGGGGGCTTCAGACCCTGGAGGGTTCCTTGTCTAATGAGGGCGGCGGTGATATCCATGGCCAATCCACGATCGAAGTTCACACTGGCTTCGAGATCTTGGATTCCTCATCCATTGGTTCCTTATTCGATGCCCCCACCGCTTATCCATTACATCAAGATGTGCCTGCCAGAGTTTTGTGTTCCTTCTTGCACGTGCCACTCGACACCGTCAGAGTGAACGGTGAGGCCTCCTCCTCCGGCAGGCGGTCTTCGAGGGCCTGGGGGACCTCCAGAGGCCTCCGGGGGCCTCTGGAGGACAGGCGGTCGTGCTCGTCGGTATCCTCTGCGTCTCCCCCGTCCCCTCGTGCCGAGATCGGCCATCTCTCTCTCCTTCTCTACATCCGCCACCGTTCCTGCTTCTCCAAGTACCTCATGGCGCTCGGCCCCTACCAGTCAAAAGTGTGAGTGGCTGATATATAAGTGTATATTTATATATATATATATGATATAAAATAATAATATATATATATATATAAATTCACATATATATATATATGTCCGAAGACGTGCCATAAATTGCAACCGACAACGGATTGTGACCAGAATTGTGTCCGAAGCTGAAACTCGCCTTGTCTTCGAACCAAGCATTTTGGTCACATTCGGGCGCGGTTGGACAATTTTGGGCGCCAGTTTCGGTCACATTCGGGCAGATTTTCGGGCACAGTTTCGGTCACTACGCCCCCCTGGTAGAGACGAAGCTACGCGACGTTCTCCAGGGGGCATTCTCATCGAGATCATTGCGTTCCTCTGTGATCCCTCTCTGGAGTTCTTCCTCATTCCTTCAGTTTCCTCGTACCCTCTTCTTTTCCCCCATGAAAGAGTAGCGGCTTGCCAGCGTCAGAAGATGGCCCGCAAGCAGATGAGAGACGCGAGGGAATCAGTTGAGGCCTTCATCGCGAATCTGGTAGTCAACGTTGTGTACAAGGCAAGGACTGCTCTGCCCGCCCACGCGTGATCAAGGGGATTCTGTTGTCAGGTTCCTAATCGACCACTAGAAAGATTTTTGCACAGGGATGTTTGCAGCTGTGACTGGGTCAGGATCTCCCTGGCGTTTTTCAGAGATGATGGTAATGGCAACGTTGACGGCACTGACCTAACGAGCTGTGAAGATTATTATGAAGGTATTTGGCGAGATGGGTCGGGAGTCGAGTCTTTACCGCGGTTCAGGTCGGTCTGGTCTGCTTCCAGATGATACCAATTGACTATCCGACTGGGGCTTCACACAGGCCAGTGAGGGTTGTGCAGTCGGTTGAGCCAGACGCACCCAACCCCGTTTGCGCCCCTCGACGAGGCGCAGCTGATGGAAAGCACCCTGGGGCCCGAAAACCCTCAATCGCATCCCAGAGACCCCCCGAACCTCGAACCTCGATCCTCGAACCTCGCCTCCTCCTCCTCCTCTTTCTCCTCCTCCTCCCCCTCCTCCGCCTCCATCTCCTCCCCCTCCTTCTGCTCCCCCTCCCCCTCCTCCTCCTCCTCTTCTTCCTCCTCCTCCTCCTCCTCCTCCTCCCTCCTCCTCCTCCTCCTCCTCCTCCTCCTCCCCTCCTCCTCCTCCTCCCCCTCCCCCCTCCCCCTCCCCCTCCTCCTCCTCCTCCTCCTCCTCCTCCTCCTCCTCCTCCTCCTCCTCCTCCTCCTCCTCCTCCTCCTCCTCCTCCTCTCCTCCTCCTCCTCCTCCTCCTCCTCCTCCTCCTCCTCCTCCCCCTCCTCCTCCTCCTCCTCATCGTCTTCCTCCTCCTCGATCCTCAGCAGCCCTGGCGCGAGCAGAAGCAGAAAGAAAGGCGCTCGGCTGGCAGGCGGTCGACGCGGCCGAGGGCCACGGCAGCCGCATGCGGCTGGCCGGCTCGCTGGCGAGCGTGATGTGCAAGCGGCGCGCCCTCCGGCGGCTGCAGGAACTCCTCCCTCGTCGTTCGTCGTCGTCGTCGTCGTCGTCGTCGTCGTCGTCGTCGTCGTCGTCGTCCTTCCTCGACGTGCTCGTGTCCCCTTTTCCCCCAGATCGGATGGCCCCCCCCCGTTCCTCACCAGCCGGCGCGTGTTTCACGGCGCGCGTCGCTGGCCTGCCTTTCCCCTCCGAGGGCTGGCTGCTTCCTGCAGCCTCAGTCGCCTCTGCTGCGCCAGGCTGTGCGCCTCATCCCCCCCCCCTGTCCTCTCCACGCCACACCTCTCTGCTCTCCTCCCTCCTCCCCCCCTTCCCTCCTCCTCGCTCCGTCCTTCCTCCACCCCCAGCGCCGCTAGAAGGGAGCTCCCTCCTAGCCCCCAGCGCACACAAAACGGCATGAACACAAGCTCTCGGAGGTCCGCGCATGTTTCCTGGTTTGGTGCTGGACCCCCCCCCAACTGCGGGGTCCAGGGTGGAGGAGGTCCAGTGCCGACCCAAGGAATCCGCGCGGACCTCAGAGACTTATTATGTTTATGCAGTTGTTTCTTTTCGGTCGTCGTCCGGCGATCAGCGCTTTGTCCATGCCCTTGCTGTTGTCGTGAGCAAGGGCACGGATAAAGCATCTGTCGCCTGGTCGCCGTTGTCCTCCTTCCTCATTTCCATTCCCTAATTATTCCTCCCCCTCCCTTCTCCTCCCCCCTCCTTTCTCCTTCCCACTCTCGGACAAGTGGATGGGTGATCTCCGTCCCCTCCAGGCTTCTGATGCTACCCGCTCCTTGCTCCGGCCTCTTCGGCAGCTCGCCTGCTGTCCGTGCTCTCGGTGCACGCGTGCCGCCTCTCGCTCGTCGCGCTGTGCGTGCCTGTGTTTTCCATCGCCCGTGCCGTCCCACTTTTTCCTTCCTCTCGGCCCCTCCTCTCCTCACCATTCCTCTCCCCTACCCTCCTCCAACCATCTCCTCGCTCCGTCCTCCCTCCTCCTCCTCCTCCTCCGCCTCCTCCGTAGCCATTTTGGCTCAAGTTCGAAACGCTTCCCTGGCGCTTCGAGCTTGGTCGCTGCCGAGGGGTCGGCTCAGGGCGGCCTTCTTGCGAGGTCAGGCCTCGCGGCACGTGAGCTTCAGTGCCCGTGCCTACCGCTCGCATTTTGCGGCACCTCCTATCTGTTTGCTGCACAGTCTTTCCCAGCAGCACTCCTGTCTCCCCTGTCGCGATGGCCCTTTCTGGCGCGGCTGCGGCGGCCGCTTCCCAGGATGAAGATCGCCTCTTGGACGCTGAGGGCGGCGACTGTGGGGCGGTCCCCGTCGACGGCTACAATGGCAAACGCAAGGCTGACTCGCTGGTGGACCTGATCACTCAGGGATCCGACGAAGAAATGGACGGGGAGGCCGCGCCGTCCGCCCAACCTGGATGGCTGAAGGCGCTCATCCTTCCCATGAATCGAGTCTGCGCCTCGGTCGGCACGATGCAGCAGCAGCTGGCTGACCACGACCTCAAGTTCGAGATTATGCAGCGCCAATGCGATTCCATCCACACTGATATTCAATCATCAGTCGACAAGGCTCTCGACACCGTCTTGGACGCTAAGATTCGAGCCGAGTTTGACGAGCTCGACCGCAAGTTTCAGATGGCTTCCACGGCGGCCTCTTCTGTTGGTGGTAGCTCAGTGGCGGGAGGTTCTGGCAGCTCCCCGAATCGTGAAGCTGATGGGCGCCCGCGCCCGACACAGACAGCTGGCGACAAAACAAAGGTGTGGATTGGCGGCTTTAAGAGACCCATGCTGGCCCGTGTCCTGCAACGGCACTCCGACTGGGTCAAGCAGCAGTTCCCGCTAGACACGACCAAGAACGCCACGGTCCACGCCACTAACTTTTCGCAGTCGTACAATTTCAAGTTTCCAGATGAGGATGAGGCCAAGAAGTTCCTTGATGATGCCAGGACCAGGGGGCTCTTCTACCAGGACTCGAAGCTCGGCCAGGTCGAGCTGAGGGTCAGGCTCGACGCCCCGCCGTTCGTTCGTGCGCGGCACAAAGTGCTCGGTCAAGTCTGGCAGAGGGTCGTTGAGCACTGGAAGTCTCACAACGTCGACTTTCGCGGCCAACATTGGCAGATCGGCTGCAACGGCTTCCGTGGCTTCTTGTTTGTCACGGTCAACGACGACATCTTCGTGCTAGCCCGCATTCAGGAGCTCGACCACGCCCAGTGTGTCCTCGAGCCTGAGCCCAGCCACTTCTCGCAGTTCCAGATCCCCGAGGAGAGTATGACGGAGTGGTGCAAGGCAGTTGGCCCTCGTAGCTCGCTGTGACACGCTCCAACGCAGGACAGTCAGCACGACCTGAGTGAGGGTATGCTTTGGGAGCATTCTATGCGAGCAGCCCGACTCTCTGGGGCGAAGCGTACCTGCCGCGGGACCTCGGCGTGTGTTTCAAGTCGTGGGCTGAAGCGCCCACGCACTTCGCGAATTCGAACACTCAGCAGCAGTGCTTCCAGCTCTTCTTCGGCTTCACTTTCCTCCTCTTCTTCTGGCAGTTCCAGGTCGTCATCTTCCTCCAGCTCGTCGCCTTCGCCTACGCCGGGTGGCCCGAGTCCGTTGGCAGCGCAGCAGTTGCCTTTTCGGCCTCGTGACAAGTTTTCTGTCCTGACCTGGAACGCCCAGTCCCTGTTCGGCTCGCAGTGGTCCTCGCCACAGTTACTGAGAAAAAAAGCGTATCGGTTTCTACATCTCGTCTCTCGCCACTCCATCGTCTGCATTCAAGAAGCCCGTGGCAGTTCGCATGATTTACGTCAAATTCTGAAAGAAACGGTTGATGGCTTTGGGTATGGCACGTTTTGCGACGTTCTTCATTCGTTGCGGAAGGGGGAGCGAGCGCTCATCTTTCTGGTCGTCGGGTATACACCTCGCGCGCGATGGCCCAGTTCTTCTCCAGGCTGTTTCCGAGCATGTGTGAGATCGAGCAGCCACATCCTACTCGCCAGGTATTATCGCGCCAGGATGTTCACATCCCCGATCGGTCCGACCCCGTTCACGGTGTCGCTCATGTAGTGTCTGTCTCTCGGCTGGATCGTATATGCACTAGTATGTGCACCGCTCAGTTACTCGATTATGGTCTTCACTCGTTCGTGATAGGCAAAGCCTGTGAGAAGCAGCCCCTGTCCGACCACCTGCCCGTAGTCTTGTCCTTGTCTCCCAAGCTGCTTCGGAGAGTCCAGAGTATCCCGCGGTGGATTTCCAAACATCCCCTGCAGTGCCCCATCATGTGCCAGGAGGTGTACGATGAGATTGGCATCAGCTCCTTGGACCCCTTTGAGGCTCTCGAGGAAGGTACAGATATTCTACGCGCTGGAGCCCAACAAGTCAAACGTTAACTTGAGCGAGCTGGAGCCACGCGCACCCCTGAGTTCATCTCGTGGGCCCTGGTGGCCATGCGCATCGTCAATCAGTTGCCCCGCGATGGGGCCCAAGTTGACCTGCTGGTACGAGCGCTTCGCGCTTACCCTAAGCTCAAGGAGTTCATTGAGTGCGGCTCGCTTCTCTGGCTGGACCTGGCTGGGTTCCACGCCCACCTCGCCTCCTTCAACATTCGGCTTCTCGAGGATCGGCTGCAAGAGGTGGGGGAGGAGGAGATCCCCGAGCCCCAGAAAGCAACTCGAGAGGATCAAGATAGGTAGCTACATGTCGTCTTGGGGCTCGGTCAGGAGGCGTATTTCTCTCGCAGGTGTTTCTGATCCCTCGGGAGAACACATCGCGGACTCTGATGAGGTCTGTGCACATCTTGGGTGGTTCTGGGGCCGTGTGCATGCGCATGTTTCTCCTGATCCTGACGCTTGGCTCGAGCTTCGTCAATGCGTGCGCCCACTTCCTGGTCGCATTCAGTGGGCACTCGAACGCGACGAGTTCGCAACACTCATATACAAGAAACGAGATGCTGCACCAGGTCCTGATGGGTTGCCATTTTCTGCTATGACCCGTGCGGGGGATTTCGCGCACAACCTTCTGTGTAACGTTTATCGCGCGCTTCAAACAGGCAGGCTTTCGAACCCTCGCTTTAACGAAGGCGACGCAGTCTTTTTGGCCAGAGGTTCCGAGCAATCTGATCATGCTGGGCTTTTCCGTTCTCCTGACAATACTCGGCCAATAACTTTGAGCAACAGTGATAACACACTGATCTCGGCCGCCATCAATGCGCCTATGGGCTATGCTTGTCAACTATCCTGCGTGGACTTCCAGCGCGGCTTCGTGAAGAATCGCTCCATGAGTCAGAACCTTGTGCAGCTGGAAGGTTATGTATTACACTGGCTGGTCCAGCGCGGCTTTTTGGATGCGGGGTTTATTTTGTTTTGATTATGAGAGTGCTTTTCCCACATTGGCGCGCGAGTATATCTTCTGGATTTTGGAAATGCTAGCAGTGCCCGCGCATATTAGGGCGAGTATCAAGCTGCTTTACCACAATGTTCGGGTATCCGTATCTTTTGGCGGCGCCCGTGGCGGACAATTTGCCGTGAACCGCGGCATTAAACAATGATGCCCTTTATCGGGCAGTCTGTTTGCATTGGCGATCGACCCTATTCTTCGCATGCTTGCTGATCGTCTACCTGCGCGAGTCAATATCTTCGGCGCCTTCGCCGACGACCTTGGAATGGGGTGCGCCGATGTCTTCTCTACCCCCGCTGCCGCGCTGCCCATTCTGAACTTCGGCGCGCGGGCATCAGGTTTGAAGTTCGACCTCTCGAAGACAGTGGCCATACGAGTTATGAGCGCCATTGACGAGTACATTCACCAGAAGCTGCTTGATGCTGGATTCATGCCGTGGTCGTTTCGTGTTGTGCAGTCAGGGAAGTACCTTGGTATCGTTCTTGGCCAGTCAGGCCACCTTGACAGCTGGATTGCGCCCACCACCAAGTGTATCAGTCGTGCACGGGCCATCAAGCACTTGTCCCTGGGGCTCGCTAAGAGCATCGTGCAGTTCAACTCGGTGGGTTTCTCTGTCCTGTCGCACGTCATGCAGTGCTATCGCCCGT